GTATTTCTCTGTAGTATTTCAGGCAAAATGGTCTGAAAAGGATACAAAATGATTCGGAGAAGATGTCTTGAAGGTTCAGTGGGACTTTGTGTTTTACGGAAAAGACCCACATAAACAAGGTCATTGTTTATTAAGAAACGGTTGTTAATCAGAATTAATTCACTATTTAACAAGGCAGTCAATAAGTCAATACAGTTTGTTTGTATAACTTATTCCTCTCCATGAATGAAGATGAAGTGTCCATGAATGTCAGATTGCTATTAAAATATTGATGCCAACACAATATAAATGAAGTAAACAAAGCCTTGATATAATTAAGGAGTTGGCTAACGGGAAACGTCGCAGAGTGCATTTGGATCATCCGCTCTCTTAGAAACAGCAGCCGAACATGCAGTGTTCATGTCCTCAATGAGGCGGTGAAACTAGCACACAGCGCTAATAGACGCAGAAGGCTCAATGCTGCTGTTACACCAATAGTAGGTAAACTAAAATAAGTTTTGGTGTCATTTTAGTGTTATTTGGAGCTGACTGCTTCACTGTGCACCTGGTTTTAGTAGACAGAAGAACTGCTGCAGATTGCTTGCGTCCTTCAGTGTTCTGCTAATGGACTTTTCCCACTGATGTGGCACATTACCGAGAGAAATAGAATTTAAGCAGATACCTCAAAGAAGCTCTGATGCTGGAAGCGATGTGGGTTAATATGCACTAGAGCCAAATATTTCCACTTGTCTGCTTGCAACTTCAGCATAACTGACCTTGGACTAAAAAAGTTGCTGCAAAGAAAAAAAAAAGATGGATTCAGAAGAATGATTAGATAGAAGTCATGCCTTTTTTTAGCGGCTTCACAGCAAATGCGGTGACATCATAGCCAAGAAAGCGATTTAGCAAAGAGACAAAAATTAACAGACTGCATAATTTAACCAAAAAAGAATGTAAACGATTTCTACGCAGCACTGGGAAAGAATAAATGATTTTTCTTTTGCACACATTGACACTCAAAACACACAAAACATTTATTTAAGGACTACAAAGATGGATTGTATAGATGTCTCCTTCCACAACGTTTTTCTCAAAGACGGCACTTGGTAATTAAGCTGTGCAAATGGTTTCCCCAGGAGACTAAAGAATTTCTCAAACATGCATCAAAGCAACAATCCAGTTGTGTTTTTGATGAGGGAATAACATTAAAAACATGGTAATCTGAAATTTTAGGGTGTCGCTCCTGAATATTGACCTCCTGTGTTCAGTACAAGGTTGTTCCACCACAATGTTAAAAATAACTTAGCCTCAGTCCAGCAGATAATTAGCCAATGATGCTCTCTGGATCCCAGTGAAGCTCACTGTGCTGGAGGGCTGGCCAGGATATCAATCATATAAGTTAAACAATGAAAGCCGAGAGCTGCTAGTTCTCACTTGCACCCAACAAGGACACCTCTCTGGTGGCGGTTCAGAGCCTGAGGCTGTTCTGAACTTTTTCACCTTTATCTAACTGGATCTATTGTCTTTTCTTTAGTTGGTATTCCAGTTACTGTGTGGCGCTGACTCACTTTTTCTGTCAATTTACTGCAACACCTGCGGGTGGTGGTTCATTTTCTCCCATTTGCCCCCCCCCCCAAAAGCCCACAATTAAACACTTTTCTCATGTGTTAAAAAAGCAACAATGCAAAAAATAGCTTGGACAGCTTCAAGAAATAAGATTTTTTAAAAAAGGAAAACACTAAAAGATTTATTGGTTTTCGGATGGCTTACCCAAAGAGACAGACTAAACACGGGAATCACTCGTATTGACTTTGTGAAGAGGATCCTTTAAGAACTTGAGTTCAGGAACTTTCTTCTTCTCGTTTTGATCGTCGTCACGAGGGAAATCAGGGGCATCAGCAGGGCCAGCATGGCCACCCAGAGCAGAGCTGGAGACACAGCCTGAGCTGCAGCTCTACTGCTCAGCAGCCTGTTCACATCAATAGAAATAAATGTGTTGGACTATTTCTCCAGAATGACTATTAGTGAGGGTGCAATATGCAAACATACTAAGTTTGCGTTGATTATCCCAGTTCAAACACTTTTTGTCAATACTGGTGTGCTCTAACTTATGAATGGTGTTTATTCACCATCCTACAACTCTCCAATATTGGCCACTGAGAGCAAGAGACTGAGAGGGAATGGGCTTTTGATCAGACCAGCAGTGAAATTAGTGACTATTAAAAGTTGTTTTGCCCTTTAATCTCCTTGATAAATAAAATCATGATCGTTAAATCTGGCTTGTTGAACAATATTTAGCAAAAAGCTTCCATGTGTGCTGCCACACACATGGCTTGAAACATGGCTTGCAGTCTTGTACTCAATAGTCTGTTCTAATTTTATTGTCTAATGGGAAATTACTTTGCAGCATATCCACACAGAAAAGCACAAACTTTGTAATACAAAAAAATCAGTCAGCATCAGCAGCAATACAGGTAATAACTGGTAAGCTTTTTTTTTTTTTTTTTTTTAAATGTGACAATAACAGGAATAAAACAGACTTAATGGAATAAAATAAACTTAACTAATACGAGGTGGTTCTTTTTGGCCTTGTCGAAATAGTTAATTTTGCAATGGAAACATTTTTTTTGTGTGTGTCACATGGGACACATTATCAACAACCAGATTTTGCCAGCTTGAACATGAAATGTTTTCAGACATGAAAAGTGTTTGGGATATAGAAGGACATCAGCTTTCCATTTCATCAATCAGTATATATATCTGTGTATTAAACTATGAAAAGTATTTAAAGAGTAAATACTCAACTCTGAATGGTTGATTTAGAGGCAGTGTTTTGAACTTCTGAAATCCCACTTTTAAAAAAAATATAATCACAAGAAAGGAAGAAATTACTCTTGGAAGAAACAGATCAGAATATTAAACCTGTCTTCGTTTATAGCAGTCATGCATCATCAACATGGCAAAGACGAGTTGCATTTGAAGTGAACCGACAGCAACAGATACGGCTGAGATTTGTGAGGGGAAAAAAGTTTAAAGGGGTTGAATTGGACTGACTGATGTTGCAGACAGAAACATTCAGTCGTGATGAAATTCTGTTTATAGCTTCGAAATATTTCCGGTGTTTTTAATATGCTGTGCCTCAGAGGGACACAATGTGATAGCCCCAGTAATCAAAGAGATCTGACAGCAATAAAAATCAAACATAATGGCGAAACAAGGACAGGTGGCTGTGAGCAAAGGTGGGATTGAATTCTGCAAAAGCTGGGGACACACTGCACAATATTTTGCCAAATCCCAACAGCCATTTGACAGCAAGGAACACTCTATTTTAGGCTGCAGGAGCTGCGGACAGATAGCAAGGTGAGTTGGTACAAACATCTGGTGGTGTGTGTGGAGGTGTGAAGGGAACCAACCTCATTTGCATTCAAACAAACATTGACATTCTTTGACAAACCCGTCTGGAGTCAGAGTGATCTGATTACTGGCCCAACTGCAAACAGCTAATGAGCAAATAGTTTATTTCTTGGAAACTTTATGTGTAACTGTAAATCTTTCTAAACTTAACACAAAATACCACTGGATGTAACCTAAACTGTCACCTAAATAATTACAATCACAAAAGTAAATATAGAATAAGCAATTTTCCCTAACAAAAGGAAATCCTTTCAACTTCATTGTCAGAGACAGAAAATGATTTTTAAAAAGGCCATGCCTGACTCTTTCTATGATGTGATTTACACCAATCATGACAGTATGGTATGAAACAAACGATTATTGAAGAAAAACAAAAAAATAGAGCTGTTTGTGGCCTCTCCCAGTGCTAACTAGAAACAACCAATCAGAGCCAGGAGGTGGGCAAAGACCCGCCTCCTGGCTCTGATTGGTTGTTTTTGGTCAGGAGTGGTGCATTTATTCACATGACAATAACAGCTCTGCTTGTAGGAGGAGATCCATCTTCTCACAGCTTATCTGTCTCAGAGCAAACTGCCACGACATGGTGATAGTTTCAACAAATGTCTAATATATATATATATATATATATATATATATATATATATATATATATATATATAATATATATATATATATATATATATATATATATATATCATAATACTGCCTGATCATATTATTGTCAGGACTACTCACAATTCTATGGTTAATTGCTATTATGTGATCAGAAGTTTTTAGCTTGCAGAGTTTTAAGTTTGATTCCCTTTTGGAGTTTACTGAACTAAAAATAAAGAGACATGATAAAGGTAAGGAAATTCTAGATGATTTATTATTTAAAGGTTTTTTCATATTTCTTTAAGGGCTTTCAAAGGTGTGACTTGGAAAGAAAAGTGCAGAGCTGATTAAATTACCTAACGGTACAATGAGAAATTTCCAACAACAGTCTCAAGCTAATTGGCTCATTACCTAACACAAGTTGCTGTAGCCTTTACACTCTAGTAATGTTACTTTTACCTTTTGAAAGAAGTGTTTTGAATGTACAGAATAAGTTCAGACAGAGTTCACAAAGGTCACCATGCTACAATGAGCTCAGTACGGAGAAAACAATGTGCTAATACAAGACAAGATAATAAGCGAGGGAACTGCAGAACTATAAGTTTGTGGGAGATGTAGGGAGTTCAACAAAGGTCGAATGCAGCATGCTGACTGAGTGGGAGACTGAAGTGGAGAAACAATAACAAGACTGTCCAGGGTTGTGATGCTATAGTTATTACAAAGTTGTTGGAATTATGAACAACTTCACTAGTAAATAAGTGTATTTCAGTTCTTCACCTTCCTGAGGTTCATTCACATGCAAAAAACACATTGATTCTACTAATAAAGTTGTTTTTAGCACTTCACATATTGCTGGACTATTTACTTTATGATTTCTAACCATTTCCATGGGAATTTATACTAGAAACATTTTGGATTCAAGTTTATTTAACATCAGACTTAGTCTCTTTAGTAATTGCGTAAGGTATGTGTCACCCAGACTAAATTCATATATTGGACACATAAGCGAAAACTTATTTATTACACTGGGTTTATTTATAAAATAAACTGATTCACAAGAATATCCATATGTTTCTCACCTCATCTTTACAGAAGTGGAGTGGACATAAGGAAGAGTCACAAAACGCCTGTTTGATGCATCAAAGCATCAAATTGGTGCGCTAACATGTCACAGGCAAACTTTATTGGCCATGCATCAATAAAGTTGGCTCTGGTAACAAGACCTTACCAACAAGACCTTTATGCCAAATGTCTTTTTTACCTCAGGACACCTGGATTTACTGCTTTTAAGAGAAATTTGGCTGAATTTGGGTGATGTAAGCCTCTTCTGGTTAGTATCAGTTTAACTCATTAACAGACTGGGGCAGAAGGTTAAAAATGTTTAAATTGCCAGCGACCATAGCTGACCTACTCCCGACCTTTGTGGACTTGTCTTCAGGTAACCTATGAACAGTCAGTTCTCAGATTTCCTGAGAGAAATTATGTGGAGGTCTGAAGCTGTCTTCATTAGGTGGTATGTGTCCCAGTGGATGTTTGCAGAATCTGAGCTTAAGTAGCTTCTGTGGCATCAGCAATGATGGCGCCCAAACACAGAATGCTAGCATGAGAGTCCAGGCCCTCTGAACAAAGCAAAGTGTAGGCTTGACTAAATGAGAAAATGTTGGAGTGAAGGAGACGCATGTAGAGACTGAACTATCCGTTCAACAGTAAGAGAGTTTCTCTGACAGAAGGAGACTCTTTAGATTCAACACAGAAACACTGAGGAACCAGAACTGAACCAGAATCCTGGATAAAGAGGTTCTGTGAATGTGTTGTGGAAGGTGTGAAGGTGGATCAGTGAGTTAGAGGAGACTCTGTAGAATGACAGAATACCAGCAGGACAGTCCACATATACCGCCACCCTGTTAGAGACAACAGAGGAGGAGACAACTGTTTCTGTGAATTTGTGCCAGACAGAGTAACCAACATCAGAGCATCTCAAACTCCAGGACAAATCATTCCATCCAAACACAGTGCCATCTTGAATTCCTTTCCTCTTGATTCTTCTGTAACTCACTGATATAAAAACTGCTCCTCTCCACTCAATCTCCCAGTAATGGCAAGCAGTCAGGCTGTTACTACACAGCAGCTGAGACCAGTCATCAAATCTGTCTGGATGATCAGGATATGACTGAGAATCCTCTTCACATGTCACCTTCCTGTTGTCTTCAGACAGTGTGAGCTCTCTGTGCACTGTGTTTGTGTCGATGGCGAGTTGACATGAATCTGATGAAGAGAACAAACACAATCCAGCTGCAGCTTTTCATCATTTACTAACACCTGCCTGATGACTCCTGAATGACAGTTTGAAGATGGTTAAATGTGAACTGCTTTGTTGTCATGAATCAAATGGAAAACACACTTACACATCCTCAGACCTGGTTTCAACCATCGGACTCCAGCAGGCTTCCTGAAAGGAGGAGGAAGGTCAGACCATAAGTTCCTTTCAGCAAATAAACATGGACATTATAATAATTCATTTCAATTCAATTTACTATATTAGGTCCCCAAAGGGCAATTCATTTACAGCAAGTAGTGGTGACTGCCAACACATTCACACAAGCCTTTACACAACAATTGATAAAATGAAGATAAGATGATCCATCCGAGATGCATGTTAAAAATAAAAATAATAAATACATATTTGGATATTAAACTGAGTGTGTAGAGCATGAGTGGCATCTAAAGTGACTTTTTGGATGTGGATACAGAGTTGGACTTGAACAGGTCCAAAATGTCATTCAGTTGTATTCTTTTGGTTTTTCTGCATATTTTGGTAATACCCCATAAGTGGTAACAGTTTGTCAAATTCTACAAACCAAACCAGTGAAGAAAAGGGAAAGTGAGAACAGATTTAATGAAACACTTTCATAAAAACACAATCAAGCTCCTGAGCTTCCAGAGGAAATGCATCCTCTGGTGGGCTTTGCTGCAGATTCAGAATTCTTATAAGAAATGTATCAATATAATTGATAAATCATATGATAAATGCCCATCCCTAGAAAGAATTATTGTTTAGTTAGAAAAGTGAACCTAAACAGATGCTACATGAAGCCACAGTCTGGTCAAAGGGATCAGGGCAACATTTTGAGCTTGGTCACACCCTTAACCCTCACCCCTGGAAAACGCAATGGAACAATGCCACATGAACTTTCAGCTGCATGATAAGGGGTTAAAAATAAAACAGTGAAGAAATGATGAACTAACTGCTGTCTGTTCCAACTGAGAAACTAACGGCTTATAAGAGTTATTAGAAAATCCCCAATTTAGCATTTAAGCTATTTTAAATGTATGAACAAAGAATATTGTTCCTCCATAAAACCCAGAAGAAAGATTTTGATTAATTCTCACCTGAATATCTCCAGCGTACCGTTTGAACCAGACAACAAGTCCAGCCTAGAATCTTGCAGGTTGTTGTTCTGCAGGTCAACCTCTCTCAGACAGCACGACTGGGAGCTCAGAATGGATGACAGAACTTCACAAGTTCTCTCTGAGAGTTTACAGGATCCAAGTCTGAGAAGAAAACCAGTCAAAAGAACAACAGACATGTAATTTGTACGTTTATCTTTGTCTCAGTCCATGAATACATGTTCTGTATGATCTCTTCTAACGATGCTTGCAGGCCTCCGCCAAAGGGTGCCCAGGAGATCAGCTCCAGGACTGTAGGTTTATGTGCACCTGCAATTCATCAGTCTAATCACACCCTGCTTAAAAAGAGATGGTTTACCGGTCATTTGAAACTTGAGTACTATCTACTGTTGTTTTTTATGGTCTTTGTCTGGTCTCCAGGTCATGGTTCTTCCTGGATTCAATCCTGCCAGATGATCATCGTCATCATAAGCAATTTATTTTGTATAACTTCAAATGTTCCTGCAATAGTTTGTGTGCTCGGTACAGACCTCCTGGTTCCCCAAGTCGTCTTCCAACCTCAGATAATCACCAGTGCACATTTCCTGTGTTTGTAACTAAACTTAATTTTACTGATTTTATTTCTCCTGAGAGTGGGTGCAACACCTAAACAAAATTATGACAGGTGGCATCTGGGAATGTATTTTAACACCTCTTAACCAGAGGTGACACCATTAAAAGAAGATTTTAGGATTGCTACGGACACTAAACCTGCCACTCTTGAGAATGGCAGGGTCCGATTACTCACTCTCCTGAGTAATCGGAGCACTTAGGACAGTGACTCCAACACTGGAAAGATGACGCCAATGGATACCTGGAGAAACATCTGATATCAAGTCCAGAAGAGCTCAGATTAAGGAATAGCTAAGATATTAAGAAGAACGCTCAAGGATTCTGGTGGAGGACCCGACCAATAGACGAAGTGCCACCCAGCCCCTGAAATCAATTGACGCCTTTATCCTAAACCTAACCAAGAAACGACACCTCTTCATGTGGGATCTGGGTCCATATGTGGTACTAGAAAAATGGTGCTTACATTGTAGCAGAAGGAAGGAATACAGAAAGGAAGGGAACAAACCTGAGAGTTTCCAGTTTGCAGTGTGGACTTTTCAATCCAGAAGACAACAGCTCCACTCCTGAATCCTGTAGGTTGTTGTTACTCAGGTCCACTTCTGTCAGGTTAGAGGACAGAGAGCTGAGAACTGAGGCCAGAGCTGCACAGCTTCTCTCTGAGAGGTTACAGTCCTTCAATCTGATGAGATGGAGATCAAAATTACTGAGAAAAATGAGATGGCATGAAGCAAAAGCAAAAAAAGTATTTACCAATACTGAAAAAAGCTCTTTAATAAGAATGAGTCAAACTTAAGAGCAGAGGAATGCATGTCAAAACCCTAAAACTGAAAAAAAAGGGATTTCATCAAATCCTTCCATGTGGAAAAATGGAATTTTGAATGATTATTTAATCGGTAAAGATTGAGCTGCAAATGCGACTCTATGGTCTTTTTTGTGAAAATTCCTGCAGATATTTCCAAACAGTAAATGATGTATTCACATAATATTCCAGACTGAACCAAATGATATGTAGTTACTTGTCTTTCACCCACCGTGTCATGAATAGTGAAATAAAAATGATAGAAACAGAAGTGAAGTAGTTATTAAAGAAAAGAACAAACAGTAAAATTCCATTAATACAAATTCTACTGTTTTTGGATAATAAATACATTTTCTGATGCAGGACATTTGCTCTTCATTACATAATTCCTGTAGCCATGTTGACAAGGTGGGGCAACAGCAGTTCAGGACGTAAGGTCAAAGGTAGCTTTGGCTAGAATGCAGTTTACCACCGTTAATGTGTGCATGAATGACTCTGTTGTGTAAAGTTTTATGCAAGTTCAGGACATTTACCAATGTAAGTCTACTTAACCCTTGAAGCTCTTTAGGGATCAAAATGGTTTTAGTTTTGATTTCTTTACTTTTTTAAACAGATAGAGATCAGAGATTGCTCATAAAACTGTTCCACTTTTATGAGGGGAAACTTTTTGTTTCCAGATTAGAAATCTCAGACACATCAAATTTTTAAAAAGTGTACATAACAAACCCTCAAATCAACTTTTTTTTTTTTTTTGCAGATAAACTGTCTAAGTTTTGACATTCTAGTGTTTAGCTCCATATTAAACAGACTCAGTGCTGGCTTTAGGATGTAGCAGTTGAAAATGGTATGGATTTATGTTTACATAAACATTCGAGTATAAAAGCATCTCACTCAGACTCATGGCCATGCGTAATGCAAGTCAGAAATTGGAACAGCAATGTGGAAACAGTGGAATGGGTCTCTTCTGCTCTGACTACTGGAGACAATCCTTGCAGGATGGACGGACTGACTGCAGTGCTCAAGGTCGCTCTCAACGTTCACTCAGGACACAGCAGAGCAAACTTTGTAAGGTTAGGATTTTTCAGGGGCGTTTCTTACACTTCAACAACAGTTACAACTTTGTTATTGAACACATTCTAAGAAACGTGACAATTAAACATTAATATTTATGTTTTCTAAAATGTCTGTAGTCAATACACAGAATCAATGGTCATTCTTTTCTGGTTTTAGCTCCTGATCAAAAGCCAGTACTTACTGAACTTTCTTTGAAGCTTTGATCACTGGTATCAGTCTGAGAAGAGCCTCCTCTGAAGCATTGTATTTTTTTAGGTCAAAAACCTCCAGATCTTCTCCTGATGACAATAAGATGAAACCCAGAGCTGACCACTGAGCTGGAGACAGTTCATCTGTGGACAAACTTCCTGAACTCAAAGACTGTTGGATCTCCTCCACTAGAGAACGATCACTCAGTTCATTCAGACAGTGGAACAGGTTGATGCTTTTCTCTGCACACACATTCTCACTGATCTTCTTCTTGATGTACTGAACTGTCTCCTGATTGGTCTGTGAGATACTTCCCGTCTTAGGAAGGAGACCTTGTAAGAGAGTTTGATTGGTCTCCAGTGAAAGACCCAGGAGGAAGCGGAGAAAAAGGTCAAGGTGTCCATTTTGACTCTTTAAGGCCTGGTCTACAGCACTCTGATGGAGCCTTGTTAGATTAAACTTACCAGTCATGTAATTAACTAAATTTCTAAATCTGGATGGTTGGTCTTCCATTACGTTACATCTTGAGTTAATGAAGGTGAAATGGACATAGAGAGCAGCCAGAAACTCCTGAACGCTCAGATGGATGAAGCAGAACACTTTATTCTGGTACAGACCTCTCTCCTCTTTAAAGATCTGTGTGAACACTCCTGAATAAACCGAGGCTGCTCTGATATCGATGCCACACTCTGTCAGGTCTGATTCGTAGAAGATCAGGTTTCCTTTCTGCAACTGATGAAAAGCCAGTTTTGCAAGAGACTCAATTATGTTCCTGCTCTCTGGACTCCAGTGTGGATCTGTTTCAGCTCCTCCATCATACTTGACCTTCTTCAGTTTGGTCTGAACCACCAGAAAGTGGATATACATCTCAGTCAGGGTGCTGGGCAGCTCTCCTCCCTCTCTGGTCTTCAACACGTCCTCCAGAACGGTAGCAGTGATCCAGCAGAAGACTGGGATGTGGCACATGATGTGGAGGCTTCGTGACGTCTTCATGTGGGAGATGATCTTGCAGGCCTGCGCCTCATCTCTGAATCTCTTCTTTAAGTATTCCTCCTTCTGTGGGTCAGTGAAGCCTCTGACCTCTGTCACCATGCCAACATACTGAGGAGGGATCTGATTGGCTGCTGCAGGTCGTGTGGTTATCCAGAGGAGAGCAGAGGGAAGCAGTTTCCCTCTGATGAGGTTCGTCAGCAGAACATCCACTGAGGTGGACTCTGTGACATCAGTCAGGATCTCCTCATTGTGGAAGTCCAGAGGAAGTCGACTCTCATCCAGGCCATCAAAGATGAACAGAACCTGGAAGTTTTCAAAGCTGAAGATTTCTTTGGTTTCAGTAAAGAAGTGATGAACAAGTTGCACCAAGCTGAACTTTTTCTCTTTCAGCACATTCAGCTCTCTGAAAGTGAATGGAAATATGAACTGGATGTCCTGGTGGGTTTTGTCTTCTGCCCAGTCCAGAGTGAACTTCTGTGTTAAAACCGTTTTCCCGATGCCAGCCACTCCTTTTGTCATCACTGTTCGGATTGGCTCATCTTTTCCAGGTGGGATTTTAAAGAAGTCTTCTTGTCTGATTGTTGTTTCTGGCCTATGAAGTGTCCTGCATGCTGTTTCAATCTGTCTGACCTCATGTTCATCAATCACCTCTCCAGTCCCTCCATCTGTTATGTAGAGCTCTGTGTAGATCTGGGTCAGAAGAGCTGGACTTCCTGCTTTAGCAATCCCCTCAAACACAGACTCGTACCTCTTCTTCAAGGAGGGTTTAAGTTCAAGTCGGCACTTCTCCACAGCCCCTGTAAGTCAAAAAAAAAGAAAAAAAAGAAAAGGGTTTGATCTGTTGTGTCTTCTTAATTATAGTCACATTATAATCCAGTTTTTGAATGAAACGTATTGGCACATATTCAATTTGAATGTTTCAATGAATTACTTCTCTTTAATTTGTTGATTGTCTTAAATATAATCTACAGCAATTTCCTCTACTAGAACCACTTGTCTAAAGATTTCATGAGACTTTGCAATAACATATTTAACATTTTCTCAAACGAAACATTCTACTTTTTTCCCGACATTCTACATTTTATGCAAATTTTTTTGCATAAAATTTGGTAGAGCACCAGACTAGGTCAATAGTATTTCAAACAAGAGGCTAATGTGGAATACAAAGCCCCAATAAATGCACACACACACACACACACACACACACACACACATACAAAATGTGTGTGTATACATAAACAAGAGCCTTTTTTAGCCGCTTCTTAAGAAAACCATTAAATAAAGAGCCACCGTTACAGAATTATGTGAACTTACCTTCTGTGCAGGATGAAGCAGAACATAAACACAGGTCAGAACACAAGTATGGATCAAGCTCTGTGAGGTGATGGATTGTCTTTGTGCAGGCTTGATCCCCTTTTTCAATCACAGTGTTGAATAAATCTCTTGCTTTATTGGCTCTGACTGAGCTCTTCTCAAGTATGGACTCTTTCTCCAACTCATTCAGGACACCATCTCCCACAAGAGCTTCAACCAATTGGGTGATGTTTTCTGATGACAACCTACTAACCAAATCCCTCTTAATTCTTTTAAGTTCACTCACTGCAAAAAGGAATACAGGTATAATTAAGACTTAAATGCAAAGACAAAATAAAGCATGAAACTATTCAAATTTTTGTTTTTGCATGTCAAGATATGTTGTGGTTGTTGTTTTCTGGAGTTCTACAAAACAAAATAAAATGTGAAATATCATAATCACTCCATATGCTCAGTTTACGGTTTACTTTCATTTCTTGCAATTGTAATCAATTCAGAAATACTGTATTAATCCCAAGGAGGGATTAAATGCTGCTGTTGGTCATTTAATGAAAGAGTTATTAAAGCTGAAGATGAGTGTGAGTAGGAAAGATCTGTAGTATTACTGGAGTATTGTACTATCAGAATGAATTTAAAGAAGCATCTGACTGAAGACACTCAGTTTTTCTAAGACAGTGTCATGAAGTGGACCGTCAGGTTTGTCCATAATCTTCTTGATTTTAAATAAAATCTTGTGGAGATGTCACCGTCATCTCCACAGTAGTCCCCAGAACAGAATCAGATTTCTTTGAAATCTATCACGAAAACCTTCAAAGAAATCAGACCTAATCAGTATGAGTATCAGTATATAAATATATATATTCATTCTGCGAAGGTGGCAGCTGCAACAAAAGCCAGAAGTTGACACTACTCAGCCCTGGCAGTTTCCAGATGTGCAACCATAGTTTTCCATTGCTATGACTATTTACACTGTTTCCATTGCTCTGCCCTCTTTCAATTCCAGGTTCTTTAAGTTCCTGTTGTTTCCAACCATGTTTGCTCAACAGAAAGTGCCAAAAATAAAAGGATCATTAGCGTTTTGTATTTACAAAAACAAAGCAAAACACTTTCAAACTGTGAAATAAAACAAAACCATCAAAGTTTGCAAAGAAGACGACACGGCTACTGAAAGCCACCCGATCAACTGGAAACCAGAAATCCTCAAGAGGAAAAGATTCTGAAGATTTTGTTTTTTATTTATTTCATCTATGTTTTTTATTTATTTATTTCATCTATGATAATTCACAGCTGAATGACTTGTTCTTTTCAAACGACATTATTCCTAATTAATTTATTAAGCCTCCTTAAATTTATGACAAACACCTTCATGTAGTTTTCTTTTAGGTAACTTGGTGAGTTAGTCTTAAATTTACTTTATTAAATAAATCTCAAACAGGTACCTGACATATTTTGACGTTCTACTGCCGTCTTCGTCAGATGTGCCCCAGCTGTTGTTCCCAGAATAAGAAGACCTCAAATCAGCTGTATGATGACCTCTGCAAACAGGAAAATCACGACAAGGACTGAGAAAAGGCCGAAATAATCCACTGAGAGGACAATAACAGCGTTTTACCATGGATTTAGAGGCAATGACGAAGCAGGAACAGGCAAATACACCTGCAGAGCATGCGCAGGACAAACAAGGCGAAGCCCCGTGTCGGTGCGCGTATCGCTTTAAGGAAAACCACGTGACCGATTCAGGCGTAGTCATTGTGTGAACGCGCCAAATTGTGTTTATAAACAAAAAATGTATCGACATGTTTGTCGATACATTTTGTTTTGTTGGATGGAGATAGTTTGTGTTGTTGGGCTTGTCATCGAAAACTATGATCAACCCAGAAAGAGGAAGTTTTCTCCAGTGTGGATCATTTTGATCTTATCGTGGAGAATAAGGTCAATTATTATTCCGTTCTCATTTCCACTATTGATCATTCTTCTGTCGGGTTATTCCAGTTTCTGTCTGAAGAATACTTTAATTAGTTTACATGGATTAACTTTTATTTCTATTGTAGGTGAAATGTATATAACTGTTTCATTTTGTAATATCTTTTATCGCTTAAAATTAATCCACAAACTATCACTGCTGCTTCTACATCATCATCTGTGTTTGATTATTCTAAATTCGCATATGATATGTTGATAGTTTCACTGGATTTTCTTTTGGAATCGGGATCTAGTGTGTTACTCCTGCCGTGTGGCTGGACACGAACCGACCGAACCTGTTGGACTTTTATCGGCTCTGTGGTCACAGAGGTTTGGAAAATCAGCCGACAATTCTTAAATCATGCCGAGTGAACCAGACATAAAGCTCACATGCTCTACTCCTCTCATCTCGTCTCACTGTCCCGGCGCTCTCTGACTTAATTATTTCTTGCGCGGCCCGGTGGTTGGACTAGGTCATCAAATCAGTCTGTCAACTACGTTGCCTGTAGGGATTTCTAATGTCCAGCAGGTGTCAGTATTCAGTGACACAGTATCGATACAGTGTCAATACAGTTTTGCTATGGGTCGAAAGGCTTCATGACACCTCATTTACCCATCAGTAATTTAAAGTTCTTTTGAATCACACCGGTTAAGTTAAGTCAACGGTAATGCTTAGATAGTTTACACTGTGCATACACTTCAAAAATACATCGTTTTGCCAATTATTTTTGGTTGACTTTCTTGTGCAAATATCCATGTTGTAGAACCTTTACAGTAGATCACATTCTCTTGTTTTAGTCATATATTGCTCTAAAAAATCTCTTCATTATAACCAAAGACGTAGAAAACTAAACAGATAATATGTAGCGTAATAGATCTTTTAGTACTGAAATTGATCATGTTTGTTTTATACATGTTTGAAAATATTATGTGAAATGTGTGCTAATCTTTGCAATCAAAATCTGCTATTTGATGCACCAGATCGGAGGAGAGGTCAGAAGAGCTTTATGCAGTTCAGGATCCAGTCTGAGGAAGTTTGAAAGGATGATAAGAAAACAGATAGTTGATAAACTTCTGTGTGCTTATCTTATCGTTATAAGATAAGCACATCTATTGCTCCAACCTGGGAAAGTACATGGGGAGGATGGATTAGACAGTCAATAGATTCATCCCTTGACCTTTGTAAGGGATGAATCTCTGGCCTGCTAACAGTAACACGTCATCTACGTCAGAACACATCAGACAGTAAAAACCCGCCTTGATGTAAAAGTAATTGAGTTCAAACAGCTTGTCAGATCGATGGGCTGGAACTGTCTTTTTTCCTTCCACACGCGGTGGTCTCCAAAGACGCGTCATTTAGTAAAATAAAAAGTTGGCTGACTTGACTGATGCTGAAAATTTACTGATCTCACCTGTTCATGAATGATCCTTTTCATATGGGTGAGATCAAATGGAACGCCATTGTTTGGTCTAACATTCATAGAATATTTAGCAAAAAAAATCTATAAAAAATTCCGTAGCTAGAATGTTTTTTTGCTAAACATTCTATAACAACAACAACAAAAAAAAGATATTACTTTTGCAACTTAAAAAACTTGCCAGTCTTCTCATGAATCGGCATCCCGGCAAGTCTCTCAAAGAGTAGTGCTACTATCAAACGTTGAATGTAGATCCCATAAAAGAGAATAAACTGGTTGTTTGGTTTCAGGAGATTGCCTGTTCTCTCTAAGTGGCATTGTTAGAGTTGAACACAAAGATCTCTGTATGCAGAAGGATTCTGGAGTCGAATGTGAGGCTGTCTGACCGCCAGCCACTGGCTTAAATCAGATCAGACCAGACCAGAACCACAGAGGCGGATCTACAGCACAATGTCTGTGAACAAATAGAGGTTTGACTTCTTTGTTGCATTGCATCATTGTCCAAAATGACTGCCAAAGGTCTTATAACATTTGTTGAGTTTAATCTACAAATGACTTGATTTTGTTAAGGTAAAAGCTGGTTAGTGTACAGGCTGACTCTGACTCTTCAGAAAAACACCAATAGTAAATGAAGTGCAAATAAAATCTCTGACCTTTTGAAAGAAAGTAGTATTCCCAGTCCTGCCCTGGTATGCACTTGTCACCCTGGCAACCAAGACACTGCAGGAAAGATGTGCTGCTCTCTGTATTTTAAACACATTACCTGCCTCCATATTGTGTGCTTTTATCAGCTGGTTCTCACTTGAACCAAGCAGCTATAGGTTATCCTGAGAAGCTGCTTTTATTGACAACCATACACAAAAGGTAAAAACTCCTTCAGCCTGTAGCAGTGGCAAGCAAAAACAGGAGGAAGAAAAAGAAACATTCTGATGAAGTTTCATTTTTATGGAGCTGAATTAATATGTGTGTGCACTTAGCCCAGCATGCACAGTCAATACCAGCTTTGCAGCTTTGTTCGGTTCTGGCAGTGAAATAAAAAGTCCTACTCTCCAGCTTGACCCTAATTAGATGAATTTTTACCGGGTATTGTGAAAGTATTCTATCTATTCTACTTAAAACTTCAACATAAACTGACAACATTTATTTGTCATGAAGTGTTGTTTTCAAGTGGACTAAATTCAGAGAAGAAGAGGCAGCCTCTAGATGAACAATATTTAATGACCAAAAATTTCATATATTTACATACATATCAGCCAGAGCAAAACAAAATCAGGCAAAACACAGAAAGGAAACAGGGAGATAACGGGATTAGAGAGGAGGAACCAGCAAGGAGTAACTGAGAATGAGGGTCATTACTGAACAAGAAGCAGATGGCTGATTAGAAATAGATTACAGGTGTGAGGGGAGAGAGAAACAGAAAGAGAGAAATACACATAAACTAGAAAACTTAAGGAAGGACTGAATTAAAGTAAGACAGAAATGAGACAGACCTGATAAAAAAAAGAAACCAAGGAATACGTAATTATCAAACTAGAATGAAATAATCAAAACACCAAAACAACACAAGATGCTAACATTATTATCATTTATTGTTTACAAAACACATAAAATAGAACAAGGTAGTATTTTAGGGTTTTGACATGGTCTAAATCCAAAAGACTATCAAGTAAACTAAGAGGATGTTATGAAAATCCCAAAAGAAAAAATGTAACCCCAACTAACAGAAAAAAACCCTCAAACATTACATTCGGTTAATTAAAATAAACATCTCACAAGAAAGACTTTACTAAGTGCCTTGACTTTTTATCAGATTAGTTTTTTTGTCTTCAATAAACATGCCTGCAGCAGGAGGATTATGTTTCCATTAATCATCCATCCAATTCAATTTAATGCACGTTTTCTGTTCCTCCCAGGTGATCTAACTGCTTCAATTATTTTGACTTTCTAACCATTTAGATTTTCTTTTCTAAACTTTTCAAAATGTTCTAAATTACACAGCACTGAGTCTCCTGTTTATTCTTCTACTTGTTGTTCTGCATTGTGCTCCATTGCTACAAGCCAGTCCTGGAGGAGTGAGGCAAGTCAATTACTAGATACAATCTGCTTTCTCTGTACATAGAAGATGCTATAATCAGTTGGAATGATAGGGTGAAGTTGAATGGACTGTTTGATAAGAAGAATCAGTTTGGAAAAGCTCAACTTGACTTTTAATCTCTGTTTGATTGGAATTAATTGTTTTTGTAAAGAGCCTTGAGACAATATGTCTTGTAAATAATACAAACTAAATAGTATGAAATTACTCAGTATTGTTAAATACTGTTTTAAATATTATGCACTTCTTTTTCATTAGTGCTTCAAATATTATATTATATATATATATATATATATATATATAATATATTATATATATATATATATATATATATATATATTATATATATATATATATATATATAATCTATTTAACAATAGAGGTAAACTATGTAACAGTTTATCTGGTCTCATTTTGATGCGTTGGGACTGTTTGTCTGATGGCAGCAGATTGAATCGTGAACTAAGTATAACATCGAGAGGATATGATGAGACTCTGATGGTGATCAGAGTTCCTCCTAAACTGATGCTCAACGAAGCGAAAAACACTCTGGCATGGTTTCAGGTCTCCTCACTAACCTCTCCAGCTCTTTCCTTCTCAAAGCTCTGTGTACTGTGGGGAGTATTGTTTCCATCAGTTCCACCAGTAAGTGCAGTCTCTAGTGGTTCACTTTCATCAGGTGAGGTCAGAGAAATATACTCGATAGTGTCGGGCACTGTTTGTCTGCTTTCTCGTCAGCTTCTCCTGATACAGCGTACCTTAAATACCAGGAACTCTTGAGATCTTCCATACAGGAGGATCTTTTCATTTTGGTCATGATTCATCTCATGAACATATGTGAGTGCTGCTGGAACACTGACGATGCAGTAAATCAATACTGCATGGCCATAGGAAGCATCTCCTTCACAACAACAGACCAGAGCCTAATTACCACATCAGAATCCCTGATCTGCTGCTCCATTCTGACACTATGCTTCACTTTCATAACACATTATAATGCTGGTGGGATCAAAGTAAACTGCTGCTTTTGCCTTTAGACACTAACTGCTTACCCTATAGTTCTCATCACTGTTCACCAGACTTTATGTTTTCTTTGCATGTGTTAGCGAAACAAATCTTACATTGCTCTGGTA